TGCCTTTTTAATTGTCTTTTTCTTTTTTGTTTCTTTTTCGCATTTCTCTTTTCTCCCCTGCATCTGGCCGAATCTGAATCGACATGTATTATAGACTTAGTATACCCAACAGAGCAATGTCTTTTATTTTATCTAAAACGTTTCATTTGATTAATTGCTTACGGTCCATGCATATGTCGTGCATAAACAAGACTGGGGACTGCGGGTGACACCCACCTGACCGCCCGTTTCACTAACCAGCCAGCATCCCGCAGAAAACCACTAGCAATGAAACTAGCAGGGATGTCACGGAGCGGGTGTCGCGGTAGTCGGATTGCGCATATCTCACCCGCAAATCAGTACACCAGATACGAGCGATTTAGAATACACACATCAATATGACTCATTTGTCGGTAGACCAATTTAGTAGACCTGCATCTACATAATGTACTTTGTACATGGACTTCTTCCATCATAAGATCTGAAGTAGCACCGATCTGACGCGATCCTTATCGAGCTTCCCATTGTGATAAGAAGTGCATTTGCCGGATCCAGTGCCATGCATCACTGCGTGGCCTACTCCTCCGTACATCTCATGTTGCCGCACCGTTGGGATTGATTGGGTATTATTTGTGCCATATTGCACCCGACTCAAACCTAGCGTTAAATCACACCATACTACGGAGTACGGAGTATCCAAAACGATTACATGCATACATAACACCCAACACGGGAAGTTGAACGTCCGCCAGGTCAGGATATACCGGTAACATCCCTAGCGTATATAAATTTAGCCCGTAATATCAGCGGTTAAACGCTAAACGGCCCAGCGGAGGAATAAGGAAGGAAGATACGAGTTTGCCCCGTCCGAGCGCTTCGGGGTTTGCTAGCCACCTTGGTACGTGCCCTACGGAGTATTACGACTACAAGAAAGTGGAGTTTAGTCCGCTGTTAATAGTTCTAGGGGTAGTAGCTGGAATAACAAATGCTTCATGCACGAACCTTCACTAGCCTATGCATTGATAGCATAGCTGAGCAGTGATATCAAGTTATCTCCAAGTAAACCGAATTATGTTATTCAATGTTAATCAGACTATGATTACGCAGTACTATAGCTTAGAAGTGCACACGGGCGTGCCGGGATCCTTGTTGGCCGTTGGCCCATCACTTGACCGATATAGTTGCATGTTGTCGTCATTGAAGAAGTCCCGACAATCTGTATCCAATGGATCTCGCAGATAGTGGTCCAAGGTTTCTGCCCCCGCTTCTACCCCTCAACCCGATACACTTTGTCTATCCGTGGTTATCCATGACTCTCCCATGGATTGTATCAGATTGACTTTTTTTTATTTGTTTGATTCCAATTATCCCAACCTTGGAAGTAAGCTATACCATCTTGGTGAGGTCAAGTGACCAAAGTAAGCTTTCGGCCGCAACGCTCTCGGCCCTTGCCCTGACAATCTCTATATTTGATCAAATCAATGAATCATGGAGTTTTGACCTCGACGTGTCTCAGGCCCTGGATGTCTGTGCTTTGAACGTAATCCTGGAACCTTCCAAGGCACCGGTTGGCAGGTTTGGTGGCTGTCTTGGCTTGTGTAGCCACGTGCGCCAGATGAGGTCATTCGCTGGGTATATCACTCTAATCGGAGATATGGAGTGATCGGGACCCTGCCAAGGATCATATCTTGGGCAGATATGGACCTTGCGAGAAACAGCGGTATGCAACAGCCGCGTTGGGCGCTATTGCTGGTTCTCAGCTATCTGGGCTGTGCCGTGAGAGGCGGTGAATATGGATATTGAGGCTCTTTGGTGTTCTAGGTGCCGTGTGTCGTACGACTGAGGGCTGTTGAGCTTTGACGTCAATACTTGTTGCCCGGGCTGAGTGAGATTGGTGTCCCCAGAGCTGAGCACGGAGTACCCGGTCGAGTATACTTTGGGGCCAAAGTGGAAGATATATCCGATTCGGCCTCACAAGAAATATATAGAGCTCAGGCATTAACGATTTACTCAAAACGGCATACCGTTAGCTAATTGTTGATAATTTTGATGGAATGAAATGGCGTTGCCTAGCTCGTAATTCAAGCCACATCTTGGTTTTTTTGCTGACTTCCAAGAAGCTAGGAGTCTAGCGCGATACCTTGTTGTAGTTCTATTTGTTTTTATATTAACTCGGGGGATGTTGAAGATCGGACTTGGCCGTGGAAGGTACATGCCGCTATACATCGTCGTATAGCTAAACGAGAACGAACAAATTTGGAAAGTAGAAAGGAATTTATATTGAATTTTGGGAGTAATTCACCATGTACAGACCATCTACAACTCGATTGATATGAACAAAGACATTGTATTCTGTAGTCAGTAGGAGCCAAATATCTTCAGGGCTTATACCAAGAAACCGAGGATAAACACACGTGATTCGGCCGCTCAAATCAATCACGCCCGGCCCTTCTCATCCAAGCGCAAAGCCACCATGGTACTACAATTGCATGTATGGGGCCCGGCCTTCTCTCTGCCTTCAATTGATGCACAATGCCTTGCTGCAATTGCATACTGCTCCGAGGTCCTCCCTAAAGACTCGTGGGAGCTGATTGCGAGCAGCGATCCTTCCGTGTCCCCAACAGGTCAGTGACGTGACCGGAACAACAAAATGGCAACCCCAGAATCAGACAGCTAACAAGTCATTTACGAACAGGTGAGCTCCCCGCTCTCCAGAATGGCTCTGTCTGGGTGAGCCGGTTCCGCAATATTGTCGACTACCTCCGCCAATGCTCGGAGGGAGCATGGAACCTGGATCAAAACCTAGACGACGTGCAGAAAGCCGATAGCGTCGCGTACGCAACCCCTACCCTTACAATGGCGCGAGAAACACAGAACACTAACAGCAGACCCACCCTCCAGCTTCTCCTCCTTCATCGAATCCCGCGGTCAATCCCTCCTCGACCTCTACCTCTACGTAACCAGCCAGAACTATTACGCCAACACATCCCCAGCCTACGGCTCTCTCCTCCAATGGCCGAACCAATGGATTCTTCCGCCCAAGCTCCACGGCGCCGCCAAAACCCGCACCGAACACCTCGGCCTATCCTCGCTAGACTTGCAAGCAATGGAAGACCAGCGCAAACGCGAGCACTCCGCCGCCGTAGCATCCGGTCAAATCCCTAGCAACCTCATCCAGCAGCCCCGCGACACAGTCTCCAAACTCCTCGGCCGCACAGCGCAAACCAACCAATTCCGCCTGGAAGCGCTAACGGCCGACTTCTTCGAACCTCTCGAAGCCATGCTCGCCCGCAGCAAGACCTGTCTACTGCCCGCCGACGACAATAGCAATCCCTCCTCGCTGGACTGCGTCGCGCTGGGATACCTGTCGTTGGCGCTCGTGCCGGAGCTAGCCTTCCCCTGGCTGCGCGACGCGATGCGCGCCAAGGCCCCGCTGCTGGCGGCGTACACAGAGCGCATGCGCAGCCGCTGTTTCGGCGAGGCGCCCGTCGACGCTAAGCACGCTTTCCAGCCTACAGTGCCGGCTGCCCTGCCATGGCGTGCACCGGAGCGCATCTCCGTCGCGGCGGTCGGGATTACACTCCTCGGCACGCTAGCGGATAACACGCCGTTCTTGAGCGAGGTGCGCCAGAATAGGAGGTTGAAGCAGGCCGTTGAGGCTGATTCGGCGTTTAGCTCCGTGGAGAAACAGGTACTGTCTTCATATGCGGATTCTAGTAACAAGGATATGTTGCTTTCTATTGCGACTGCTGTGGCCGGGACGGCTGCGTTCGTTGGGTATATGGTGCATGTGGGCTTACTTTCTTTCTCGACTGGGGGTGTCGAGGAAGAAGAGGAATTTGAGGAAGATTTGGATGTTCTGCAGATTGATCCTGGGTCTGCTGCTGACTTCCTGGGTGCGTTCTAAGCATTGAAAACACCTGGAGGTTCTTGCGTCTGGTTCTGTGGATGGTACAGGATCAGTGTTTTGTTTTACTATTTTGGATGAAAGCGAAGGGTGTACGATAGCATTGCGTTTTGTCCTTTGTACTTGTGTGTTGACGTTCCTACGGTTCCTCGCCACATAAAAACCGCAGGTCTTTGATCCGGTCGTCTACTTGAAACATCTCCTTTGTTCTTAACTTTATAATCGAACTCAAAAGAATCTACGATTTCTTTGCTGACGATGGCAAATGACCGAGGGTTCAAAGAAAACATTGGGGACATCCCTCTTCGGTAGATACCTAGGTATCACTGCATGTAGCCTGACATTCCTCCGAAACCTAATGTGAACCTCACATCTCGCGTATTCAGCCACTGAGACATGCCCAAATACAACATAGTGTCATAGTCGTGACTTGCGTATTGAAGCTTTGAGGCTCACCTTTCCGGCAGGTTCAACATTCAGATTTCATTAGTCAATGGGCCAACCCCATGACAAAAATATACACGGGTGGTTTTTAGTTTAGCCTCATGCAAGACATCTAATACAGTGCCGAAAGACGATATGCACATCGGGTTTGAGGTAGGTGGGACATGGTAATAGATAAGAGTCGTTTCAGGTTTATGACAGACAAACATGCGTTGGCGCTAATGATCCTGAGATTAAACGGATAGGGAATAGTAGATGGATATATTTAGATGTCAATAAGTATCAGTGCGGAATAGCAGTAAAATACAGTAAAATACACAGTAACTAGTTTTAGATGAAAAGAAAAAGGAAACGATATCAACTCTCAAATCAGATGGTTCAGATGGTATATGTACAGAGAAAAAGACAAAAGGAGGCAAATCATGACAAAGATATGTATGAACCTTTCAACGGCAAAAAAGCGTAGCCGTCAAAGAGCCGCTCGAGGATGGAAGGATGTGTGGCCAGGATAGTTGCTGGGGCAAGCGACCTGCGCACGCACACATCAAATCAGGGGAAAGATACAAAGACACCTTCGGCGTTGAACCATTTGCGCAAGAAAGACAAAATCTCAGTAGAGACAAGAAGATTGCTTGAAATGGGAATAGAAAAAAAAAAGAGGCGAGGTCGTTTAAGAGGACCAGCCCAGGTTGACAACGAGACGGACGGGGCCAGCGGACTGGGCAATGGCCAAGTCGGTCTTGCCCTGGTCGGCGGAGGTGTAGGCGTGGACAGCGCCGGAACCACCCTCGGCGATGGAGGAGCACTTCTCACCCTCGTGGTTGCAAATCTGCATACCAGCGATGTGCAGGTCGGCGAGCTCAGCGATGATGCAGGAGACGTCCCAGCCGGAGAAACCGTCGTTCTGGGTGTTGCTCATGTCGAACTCACCCCAGGTGGAGGCGTACTCACCGACGTAGTTGGTAGGGAGACCCTCGCCCTGGGCGGCACCCCAACCACCCTGGGAGTCATCATCGATGGCAACGAAGATGCTGTGACCGGGCTCAACAGTGAAGCTCAGAGCCGCGTTGGGGCTCCAGAAACCGTTCAGACCGCCAGTAGGGCCGTAGGAGTTCCACATGACGACGGTCCAGGCCTTGGAGTTGTCGTTCTCAAAGCGAATAACGTGCTTGTACTCGCTGGCGACGTCCTCTTCGACACGGATGATGTTGCTACCCCAGGGGCTGCCGACGTTGCCAACGTAGTCCCAGTCGAGGGTGCCAACGCGCTTGCTGGCGGTGGAGGAACCGAATCCGGTGGTAGAGTACGTGCCGTCGGAGGGGTAGCTGGCCCAGTTGCTGGAACTAGAAGAGCTGGAGCTGGAGCTGGAGCTAGAGGAGCTGGAGGCAGAGGCGGTGGCGCTGGCGGACGAGATGACCTCGGCCGAGGTGGTGGACACGACGATGGGAGTGGCAGTGGAAGTGGGAACAGCGGTGGACTCGGCCACAGAGACCTCGGTGGAAGCATCAGTGGACTCCTCGCCGAACCAGTTGTTGATCCAGGAGACGAGCTTGCCATCGATGGTAGCGACAACCTCCCCACCACGCTTCTCAATGTCGGCAACCTGGGCGGGAGCAGTCACAGCGGGCTGGGCGAGATTGACATCTTTGGGGTGACCGTGACGGCGGTCGTGGCCGTGAAGACGAGCGACAGCCGACCCAGCGGTCAGCGCCGTCATCAACAGCATAGAGTTGGAGAAATGCATCTTGGGAATTGAATTAACTTGAAAAGGAGTGACTTGAGCGAAAGCACGCTCTAGGAGAAGAAATTTCAATTCAAATGAATGTGTGTGAGAGTAAAGAGAAGAGAAGAAAGTGGACTAGGGGGGGACTATTAGTACAATACCAAGTTACACACCAACGGGTCAGGCTGGGCCTGAACCCAAAAACAAAAAAAGGGCTCCATCTTGGCAGAATATCAGGGGCGCTCGATCGATGATTGGCTGGTTCCTGGCGGTTCCTGGCCGTGCGCCCATTTTGGTTCGTTTGATTGGTTGACGGTTAAGGGCCCAGACTCTATTCTCTTGGTATTGTGTACTTGGCTATACTATGCTTCTGATCGCGGCTGTGCAGGTACTCGTTACTTAGGGATAAGGGGTTATTTCTCCTATTCTTGTCTTGTTATTCTTGTTATTCTCGATTGTACCGTTCTATTATTATGGTTCCTATTCTTGGGATTCATATTATTCTATAGTTGCCTAATGTCAAACACGTGTACGATCGGAATGCTAGATACCTCAACGATATGAGATGACTCAACTCCATCACTACATCAGAGCCCAACATTCATACATACAACATATATGGAGTACTTATGGGTCTTAATATGACCGTTTCGGTATAATATACGATCTCCGTTCAAACTTACACAAGTACTTTAAGACAACTTCTATCCCCGTCATCCGGAAATCCCCACATAAACCAATCGGCGTAGCGCACAGTAAGGATCTAAACTGTCTTACGAATCCCCAAGGCAATCTTAAATGGGGACAACTCATCACCGCGTCGTCGACAACTACGTGGACAAATGGTCAACTAACACTTTATGACTATGTCCCTACCCAATTCATTCTGACAGATTACATTGCACTCCGGGGTTCCCTGTTCCAATTAATAAGGATTGTCCTCATCGTGTCAATCGTATCCACGGGTGTGCACACAGCAAGGCGAATCTCTGCCGTTGATCTGCGGCCAGACCCCCCTACTCGGCCGATGGATCCTCGATATTTTTCTGTAAGGCACCCCCATTTTGTATATTCACTGGTAGCGCCTAAGCCATTCTCCACCCATATGACGAGTCTCGTTCCCGGTTGTCTCCATAATGGCACGCCGAAACTGGCCCCTCGGGAATCCAGGCCTTTCCAACTCGGTAAACTGGGGCTGGATAATGCCCGTGAAGCGGTTTCATGTGTTAAGTCTTCCAGAACTTTAAGCGCGCTTGGCTTTTTCAAAGGCTCCATATGTTGTACGGAGTATGATATTGTATATCGTATGTTATATCCTCGGTATAACCGGTACTCCGTATATGGGTACATTTTGTTGCCACAGGCGTTTCCTGAAACACTAGGGCTATTCGTGCAGGGACCTGGACTCCTCACTTGATGCAGGTACCCACGACCCTTGAAGACTCACTTCAGTCACTCTTAATATGTTGAATATTTTAAAATCTTCCTCAAGACCCTAATGTAGAAAAATTGTAGAAAAATGGATCCGTAAATAAACAAAACCAAGGTTGACATGGGAGGATCCTCGGTTCGATCGATCTACAATTTGTCTTATTGGTTGTGGGAAATTAAATCGGCCTGTCAATTACCCTAACCATAGAACAAAACCACATGGCATTATACATTTGAACGGTAAATTTGATTAAACCCAGAGATTTCAAACTGTTCAAAGATTCAACCTTCTCATAATAATGAATGTGGGTGGATGAGAAAATCAAATCATACGACTGGTGGAGACGATTCTACGGAGTACGGAGTATGCATTTACAGTTTATGGACCGATATTCCAAAGGGGAAATTGACAGTGCCTTCACACAGAAATCGACCTTGACAAATATACATTGTCGAGGCACTCACTGTGCCCGTACCGGGTATAGCAAGTGGCGGTATTCCGTTCATTTCTCTCCCATATCCACGCCACCTTCAAACGCCACACCACCAGCAGCCGCATCTAACTTAAGGCTATCATCCAGCCCGCAGACCCTGAACAACATCTGAGGCGTCAACTCCTTATCAAGACCCGGCAAGCCATCGCGCTTCAATTTCTCCAGCCCCTCTCTTATAGCCAGAAGAGCAGGGCCCAAAGTCGCAAACGGGAAGATGATCACCCGGAATCCGATCTCCTTCGCCTCTTTCGCAGAAATCGAAGGCGTGGACCCATGCTCCACCATATTCAACAGCAAAGGCCACGGCGCAAGGTCGGCCACAACCCGGCGAGCCATTTCTCGGGATGATATGCCCTCTAAGAACCCGACGTCCGCACCCGCATCCCTCGCCGCCCGCAGCCGCGCCAAGCTCTCTTCATAGCCGTGCTGCTGCAGCGAGTCCGTCCGCGCAATGATCACGATATCACTGCCGATGCGTTCGCGCGCTTGCACAGCTGCCCGGATGCGGCTGGTGTAGGTTGCCGTGTCGACGAGCTGCTTGCCGGAGAGATGCCCGCACCGCTTGGTCTGTACCTGGTCCTCGATGTGGAAAGCCGCCACCCCGGACCGCGCATATTGTTCTGTTGTGCGGGCTACCATGATTGGCCCGCCGTAGCCGGTGTCGGCGTCGGCGATCAGCGGTGTGTGAGGTGAGAGGTTTGCTAGCATCTCTGCGTTCGCTCGCATGTCGTTCAGCGTGCAGATTCCGAGGTCTGCTTGGCCATGCACCGAGGCTGCTGTTCCGGCGCCTGTCTGGTTGGTGGTGTCAGCTCGGGACTTTGATATTCTTGATTATCTTGCATTACATACCATGTATAATGCATCGAAGCCTGCTGCCAGTGCTAGCCGGGCTGACATTCCGTCATAGACTCCTGGGGCTGTGATGAATACCTGGGGATCCTGCAGAGATCGCCGCAGGCTGGTTGCTGCCGATGGAAGAGCCATGATTGCTGTCCTGTTGTTGTCTTGTGCTAACAGAGGTAGTAACGACTTGCCGAGATAATCCGATATACGTATAGCTAATGACTAAATAGATACTTGAGGATTGATATACGCTCGCCTCAGAAAATGAGCCGTGCGAATAGCTTTCGCTCCGGAGGTACGACCTCATTTAAGCCATTACCACGCACGTGTGAGACAAGCTTTTGGCGATTCCTTCCCCAGTGGGGAGCTCTTTCAGGCAATTACAGGTTCTCGATGATGCGCACTCTTCACTTATCCGGAGCCACGGGCCGATACCGCTTCCTTATGCCATCGCCTGTTTCGACATTCCAATCCACCTGGACAGCTTAGAAAATATATCTAGACTCGGTATGGATTTGGTCAAGATTAATCTGTGTAGAGGAAATTGCCAGATGTCGATTATTGCAGTATCGAGTGGATTAACCTTGAACATTTGAAATATATCAAGGATTGCCTGAGATCTCCAATGCCAAAAGTACCACATAGGCAGGGAATTGACCGGCAAAGCAATGTTGAAGATGCGGACCCCCGGGTTAGTATGAGCTTCGGCAATTCAAGCGGGGTACTAACTTGAATAGTAATTTTCATTAAACTGCCATCGGCGCAGTATAGTAGGTAGTAATAATATAAGCACATGAGCTCAACTTGGAAACTGTTCTTTCTTCAATTTTCACTAAGGAACTCCTTTGCTCCTTCCTATTTTGTCCATTCCTTGTTCCTTTCTAGAGAGGGAACATGCAAGATCTTTTGGCCCCGCCCCGGGGTCCGTAGATCTGCTTAGTCAGGAACTTCCCTTTCATCTCGAATTCGATTCCCATCTCAAATGAACGTTTCGGCGCCAATTTTTTGATTCCCGATCGTTTACCAAATACCTGCCTCGATGGCTCGCTCCTCCGTCGTTCAAGAATATGCATCCCCCTCCGCTCCGACCGCCACCATCGACCACAAGGCCACCGCCGAGCTTCAGAACTTACAGATAGCTCGTCCACAAGGGTACCGGGTATCATGGCATGCCAATCCAGCCGTTGAGCCCCACCACTTTGGCCAGTCACATCCAATGAAGCCATGGCGCCTCACACTCACCAAACAGCTCGTCATGGCGTACGGCATGCATCACGCCATGGATCTCTATCTCGCGCGCGCAGCGACCTATGAGGAAATGGCCGACTTCCACGAGACAGACTACCTCGACTTCCTGCAACAGATCATGCCGGGTGACATAGACCGACCCGAGCAAGCAGATAACGTAGTGCGCTTCAACTTCGGTGACGACTGCCCCATCTTCGACGGCCTGTACAGCTACTGCTCGCTCTACGCCGGCGGCACCGTCGACGCCGCGCGCAAGCTCTGCAACAACCAATCCGACATTGCAATCAATTGGTCCGGCGGCCTCCACCACGCCAAAAAAGCCGAAGCAAGCGGCTTCTGCTACGTCAACGACATCGTCCTAGGCACACTCCAGCTCCTCCGCCACCACCCACGCGTCATGTACATCGATATCGACGTACACCACGGCGACGGCGTCGAGCAAGCCTTCTGGTCAACCGACCGCGTGCTCACGGTCTCCTTCCACAAATATGACAAAGATAACTTCTTCCCCGGAACCGGTGCTCGCGAAGACACGGGCCCCGCACACCCACTAAACCCAGGTGCCCACCACGCCATCAATGTGCCCCTCAACGACGGCATCGACGACGAGTCCTACATCGCCCTCTTCAAAGAGGTAATCGGCGCATGTATGAAGACCTACCAACCAGGTGCAATCGTTTTGCAATGCGGCGCCGACAGTCTGGGCTGTGACAGACTAGGCTGTTTCAACCTAAACGTGCAAGCGCACGGAGCCTGCGTCGCATACACCAAGACCTTCAAGGTACCACTGCTTGTCGTCGGCGGCGGTGGCTACACTCCGCGTAACGTGTCCCGCGCGTGGGCGCACGAGACCTCGATTCTGGTCGAGGCAGAAAACATCATCAACCCCACCATCCCGGACTCTGTCGCCTTCCGAAACCACTTCGGTCCTGATTTCTCGCTCTTCCCGCCTCTGTCGGAGATGCGCAAACTCGATAATAAGAATACCCGCGCGTACCTCGAGGG